TCATACATGAGAAAGGTTTCTCATCCGAGTGAATTCTCATGTGAACCTTCAATCTAGCCGCCATTGTAAAGCTTTTTCCGCAAATCAGACACGAGAAGGGTCTCTCATTTGTGTGAATTCTCATGTGATCAATCAAATAGCTGGAAGCGAAAACTTTACCACAAACTTTACAAGCTGAAATATTGCAGTTTGTGTGCATTGTCTCCTGCCATTCTGCTTCTGGACCGACAACATTCCCAGTTTCAACTCTGAAATGCTGAAAACTCTTTTCTTCTAGTTCGTCAGCCCTGTTTGAGCCAGATTCTTCATTGTTGCTCCTTCCCTGGTTTTGTTTCTCAGGCTCAGCGGAAGTCTGGATGGTGAGTTGGTCCTCGTTTGACTCTGGTTTCCTCTTCTCCGTTTTCTCATGAATAGTGACTCCTGTGAAGGAATCAGTTGGCCAACGCTGTTCAAGCTGCTCTTTCTCCAGACTGATAAAGAGTTCCTCCTGTTCATCCTTTACCACCGATTTCTGCTCTTCTTTTATTTGTGGTGGTTCGGGTTCTTCTTGGTTTTCTTTCATCTGTTGAGGTTCTGGTTTCCCCAGTTCCTCATGCATACATAAAGGTTGCATCTCACCTAGGTTCAAACTGGAGTTGATCTCTAGGCTGGGGAGCTGATGGTCAGTGACATTATCCTCCTTCCAAACATAAGGCTGTGTGAGGTCTGGACAGAAAGAAAAACATTTTTGATTAATCCAAGTAGAAAACAAAAATACTTCTTTTTTTTTTTTTTATTTCAGGGGCTTTATAGAGGAAGGTGCTATGGTCAGACAGCTTAGTTTTTTGGGAGTTTTCTTACCCACAATTCATTGTGTGGAAAGGAAAACCAGTAACACTTTTGTGAATTAAAAAAAACAAACATCAAGCAAGACTGACATTTATATGCTGAGATGCTCTCCTTCCAGGTCAATTGGTTTAGTTATTTGCAAATGAGAATGTGCAAAACTGTCAAACCTCAGATGTGCAAAGCTGGTAGAGGTGTACTGCTGCAGAGTTGCAGAAATTATAGCAGCAAAGGTTCTATAAATCATGGGTTCAGGTGGGCTGAACCCATGAATTCAACGCCACATTTTTCTGATTGTTGTTTGCATTTTGAATAGCCATGCATCTTCTCTTTCACATCATAATTTATAACGGTTTATAAATTAGATAGTCCCTTTTAACCACATTACTGAGAGATGATGTAGTAAACAGACAAAACATCCTGCAAAAACGCATTTTTTACTTAAATGTTTATAAACAACTTTAAGTCTTAATATTTTAGCCCCGTTCATTTCTGTAAACGTGTGTACAATGAGAACATTTACTTGACACATCTCACTATAGTTTAGTCACCAAGTTTAAGACATCATGGTTTTAATCATACCTATTCTCTGTAGCTTTATGTGGGGTTTCCAGTAGATTTCCAGCAGTCTCTGTTGACGCCACAGCTCTTCCTCGTACTGGACGATGGTTTTATCAAACTCTGTAAATATTTCCTCAGCAGCAGCGGCCAGTCGCTCCCTGATAAAGTCTCTCAGAGACTGAAATGAAGACATTGTTGCTGCAGAAACACAAATATTCACCCCAGAAGAAACAACAGAAGAAAGTTAACGCCGCTAACAGATGCAGAAAGTCTTCTTCCTGGTTCAAGGAGAGGCTGTGGAGAAACGCATTTGCTCTTTATCGCCATCTGCTGGAGGGAAGTACAACAGAGGCCAGAATTGATAAAACCTGTAGAAGGAAAAAAAAAAAAAAACATGTACAGCATTTCAGACTACCTGAATCATTTAATGAAGTAACAAATGCTTTCTTGTAGACTTGCTGGATCATTATTACAATGAAAATCAATCGTAAGAAACATTCACAGCAAAACACAAAATGTTAACACCATCATAATCAAAATAGTAATACTTTGCTAAAATTGAAGTGTGGAGTTAAAAAACATAAGGGCACCAGAAAGAGATGAGTGGACAAATGTGTAAATTGTCATCTTTTCCACAAAAGGTCAGGGTTCACTGACTCTTCTTCCACTAGCAGCTTTCATACATTACATCTAGGTTTCTGTTGCTTCCAACGGAGATTTAATTTGGTTAGAATAAAGACATCCAGGAGTATTTTAACTATGAATCAATAATTTTTTCACATATCTCAATGGTATGATTTATTTAGGGGTTAGATACTTCTACCACTTTAAAAATAGTCACAAAAGTTATGAGTGTGACTGCTGTCATAAAAAAAAGTTATAAGTTTAAGTTGTATTATTGGCTGGTAAAGATTTTACAAGAACTGAAACCAGAGAGAGGTCCTTCTTGTGTCTGACATGTGGTAAACAGTTCAAAAATGGTGGGAATTTGTCTCAGTACACTAAAATTCATTCAGGCCACAAGCCTCACTTGTGTACGACGTGTGGAAAAACGTTTCTTTGAAAATCTCAATTCATGAGTCACATTCAAATTCATACAGGTGAGAAAGCATTCTCATGTAAGATCTGTGGAAAACGCT